TGGACTCATTGGAGTGAAGTCCAAGATAATGTGTTGAATGTAAATATATGAGAAAATAGAGTGAATGTGCAAGCTGGGTGTGGATAGGTAACAGAAAATATAACTGAGATACATGAAATGAGATGAGATGATGGAGCTGGCCTGTATTGCAGGTTATAATCTGCCTTTCCTGCTGCCCTCACTGTGTAATTTGCAGCCACCTAGAATTTCCTTTGTTCCAAATCAGCAACTAACAGCTGCATTATTTTGCAGCTAGGCCCAGAATAAAGTTCTATGGCTGCTACATCCTTTTGTAATAGGAATGACACTAATTCTGTGATTTCTCAAGCAGAAAAATGGTCCTATCTGTGCAGAGAATATTCTGCATTTCACGTGACTCGTCCGTACAATTACAAACACACACACCAAAAGAAGCCATTGCAAATGCAAGAACAAATGACACCAGCCAAACTGATCTTTACTGTTCATTGCATCTTTAAAAAAAAAAAAAAAAAAAAAGGACAGGAAATTAGGAATGTTATTTGCTCTTTAAGAAACAACCAACCCCTAGGTAATTTTATTCTCTGACAAAGCTACACTTAGGGAATTACTCTTAAAAAACATTCCCAGTGTACTGTGAGGGCTATGTATCTGTGTAGATTTTGACCCAACAGACAGAGTCAAATTCATTGCATTCATCATAAGCACACTGCATTCTGCCAGAATATCAAATAAAACCCTTGTTTTCCAGATTAACAAAGAATATCATGCCCTCTGACCCCAGAAAAACAACATTTAGTTTCTTGGTTATGGGATCTCAGCAGGCATTGCTTGTGACAAGAGTAAAAGTTATTTTCTCTCTCTGTTATGTTTCTTTAGCAAAGGTTTTAAAAATTGCTCAAAGAACCTAAAAGGTCATTTGAAAGTCTTATTTTTATTGTCACTGCCTCCAAAATACATTCCATAACTCAGTTTAATGTGATCTGCAGCAGGCCAAGAGTTTTACAAGCCAAGATATTATGTCTGGTCCAGTTAGAGACACGACAGAGTTCAGTGAAGAGGGGAAAGTGAAGATCTAGTTTGAGAAATGTAATTTAGCAATGCCTATAAACCATGGAAGGAAAATATCTCTCTGCATTCAATTTTGATGACTGAATGTGTTCATGACCTTTCCTAAGGTAGAGGAACCCTACCAAGTGCTTTATGAGGAAACAGACAAATGTTTGAGGAAATCTGTGTAACAGCATGTCAAGACAAGTTTCACTCACCTCCCAGAGTAGTCCCTGCTCCTGCAGATAACTCAACTTTCTCCTGGCTTCATTGCCCACAAGGCTCCATAGTCCACAAGCCAGTGCAGAGAATAGTGGGGCAGGAATTTGTTCTTGTGTTACTGCTGATACCACATCTATCCACTGTATCTTCAGATGAGGAAATGTACTGTAATTTGCATATATTAGTTACAATTTTCATATAAAGACACCCTTTATTAGGCTACTTTCATCTCCCTAAGTACAGAATATTTCAAACTGCAAGTGGATTAATCTGTGTCAGACTGGCCTATTGCATTGTAGGGGCAGGAATTCAGTCATTTGAGTCTGGACTGTGATTCTGTCAGCCGTTATTCTTCCGGTGGCCTGTTAATGGTGAACAGCTTTAATCTTGCCAGTAGTCACAGTACTTTCCAGTATTGGACCCCACACGCTTAGTTTATACAAGTCAGCAACCATCAGTGTTTATGAGAACCATTCTGTCACTGAAAAGATTCTTCACATCTTTGCTTTTTATTAACTGTTTTCTTGAAATCTCATTATGACCACCAAAGTCCTACATTGTTTGGAGTTCTGTTCTCCTAACCGCCGGCCTTAAAAGCTTAGTTCACTGTAAATATTAAATACAAATTCTCTTTCTCTGTATTATGAGAGAGCTGAGATAACTTAGAACAATCAACTGATGGATGCAAAGCGATTGTTTTGTTTAATTACAGCTGCGTATGTCCCAGCAATTCATTAAGTATTGTCATTCCTGCTTGTTTTGTAGTAGCAGAAAAAGTACAAACAGGAGGTTGGCCTCCATTGTGTGAGTCATACAGCAAACCCAGAACAGGACACTTGTCCTTCTCACATGCTGCATTCGGTGTTACTTTTTTTCTGTCACCTGAGGTTTATACATGAGGTCCTCAGACTAAGGCTTCAGTATGTTTAATAGGTAGGTATCTGGAGATTCAGAGAGAAATCGTGCTTATGTAAAGAAGACTCCTTAGTTTTCTTCCTTGTTTTCCATGAAGATGGTTTCTACCATGGTATTTTAACTCCTGATTATGACTTCTGAATATAAACTCCTGTAATTTTCTTCAGAGACCTATATGTTATTGTAAAGCCATTTGGCTTTTCCTAGTAAACTACTAATTGTACAACTCCGGCTGATGGAAGAATTTAAACAACTGTATTCTCCTTGGTGGAAGTTAGAGGCGCGCGTTTCCGTTTCAGTTGTTAGACAGTCTCAGCCCTAGTTATTTGTGCAGTAGTAACTGTACTGACCTAAAGAAGCTTGTTCTAGATTTACGTTGTTATAAATAAAACCAGAATTTTGCTTATTTTGCTTAGAGCACCCCAGTTCCTATTAAATGTTTACAAACAGGTATAGCAATTGCTTGTTCCCTTGTGTTGTTTTACAGTGGTTGTTGTGCTCAGTTTGCAAATGCGAGCGACTGTGGTCTGAGAGAGCTGAGGATATGTGTGAGAGCAGTCATTAATACGTTTGGTTTGACAATTCTGCAACAGTGTCTAAAAAGTTAAAATTTGTGCTGCATTGTTTCCCAGTTCACTTTTGCCTTCAGTGGGAAGATGTAATATTGTTGAGACAGCCATCCTGTGAACGATTAGTCTCTTGTATGCCTATTTTTTCTCTGATGATGAACAGTTTCCTTGGTTTAACAGTATAGCTGCTGTGGATAATTCATGTCCACAGAGGAGGGATACTCTTTTAGGGAGCAATGTCCAATCCCACTTTGAGTCTAGTGACAGAAACTTTTGGCTGGTCTCTGATAAGCTCTTCTGAAAATAAATTTTATTAGTCTGTTGGTGGCCAAGCTAGCTACAGTCTGTGTTTGGCTGCATGTCATAGGAGGTACAGAAAAAAACATATTCAGGGGAGAGGCAGCACAGGCAGGTAAGCAGGTGAACTGAACAGTTTTAATAAGGCAGAAATGTTTCTGCTGCAGCTTTCTTGTATTTGTTGTTTCACTCCTGGTACAGTTCATTTTGGTCTAGAAATAAGCATTAAGTGATTCACTGAGACCTCAAGACCCTAAGGTATTTCATAGCTCATGTCTAGAAATTAATATTTGTCACTGTGGACATTTGGATAGCAAATTTGAAAAGTAATAAAAGAGTGCCAATGATGAGAACTGACTCAAAAGTCCATGTTGGGTATTCTGCACCATGGATATTGGAGCATTTTTGAAGTGTATTGTTCTTCTCGTAGTACTTTTTAAGTCTTTCTTAATCTTAGCTTTATCAGTTGCATTTAACCTTGTACTGCTATAAGCTAAGCACTGTTAAACTTAGAAGACATTCCTGATCCGTATTGTAGGAAAAAGTGGATATCATAAAAGGCTACCATGCAGACCCTCCTGGTGTTTAGTAAGTATGCAAATACTGTAGGAGAAAGGACAGGACCTTGAAGAAAAACTTTTAAGTAGGGGTTTGATAATGGAGAAAGAATTACATGTGTGGCACTCTCAGCTTATTTGATTAACCTCAGTAACTGATGGAAGTGGTTTGACTATCAAACATAGATCACATTCGTCCTACCTGCATGGTATCAAATACTCAACAACGCCATATTTTCCATTTCTCTTGTCCTCATGTTTTCTATACCGATCCAGTCCCTCCTCTCGCCCCTGCTAGACCCTTGAGTGTGACCCCCCAGTTTCAGTTACATGGACTGAATATCTTAATAAGTTAGAAGTCTTAATTATGCTAGGTGATAGCGATGCAAGAAGTCCTTAACCTCAGTCTGCAAGTGATTTCTCTTGAGTTTCCTCTAGACTTTATTATTTTGGGGCTCCAAATATATTTTGTTCAACATAAAGTCATTGTTTATGCTTTGCATGCAGCTTAAACTTCTGAATGTGCATTTTGCATTTGAAGTACATCAAAGTGTGAAGTGAACACCTCATTTGTTTCTTGAACTAAAGCCCATTCACCTGAAAATTAGAGCACCAAAAAACCGAGAAGGACACTAATGCTCAGAGTGTGCAGTCATGTAATCACTTGTTTCTGAATAAAAAAGGCAATCAGAAATTTTAAAAGTTTTACGTCAGGCTACTGTCCGGAACACTTCGTAGGAAATTAAGAAACAAGGTTTTGGCCTAGATTTATCATTTAAATTCAACTAAAAAGCTGTAGACTGCTAATGGCAAAGATGATGCAAATGGGGCTAGGATGGGGGAACATTACAGAAGAAAGGGGAGTGTGTATGAAGACAATAGTTTTAATTATTTAAATTGACTATAAAATAGTCACATTTTTGATCTTTTAACTTTTTTTTTTTAACACCTTTAATGGATCACATAAGATTTAATAGTGATAAATTCACTTAAGCCCTATAAAGATCCAAAAGCTCTTTTAAAAAATCTTCATGAAACTCTGAAATAATAGGGCAGATGATCCTTTCTGTGGACTGAAAACCAACTGGTACAATTTCAGAGAAAAAAAAAAAATCTTAAAATGCTGTGTATTTTTCTTTAAAAGGTTAAATGTTAATTACAAATGTCTTTTTGCCTGACTGTTTGGAGTTGCTGGGTACTTGATTGCTCCTATGGAATTGGCATAAGGCATTACTCAGTATTTCTAAACTTGAGGCCCTGAGTACATACCAACTTTTGATTTGATTCAGCTTTCATGTTAACAGGGGTTTTTTTCAGCTCAAAGTCTTGTGTGATTATTGCTTCTAATTGTTTGCTTTTTTGTTTGTTTCTTTGGGTTTTTTTGCCTGCTTTTGGAATTTATGACCATCAGTGAGAAGGACACTAAAGAGTGGACTGACACCAGAAGAAGCCAAAGCACTGGGTCTCATCAGCACCTCTGAGATGCAGGTTTGACATTCCAGAGGTGGCGACAGGAAGAGCCATTCATCTGAAGCACACAGGCTGACAACGTTTTGGTGTAGCATTGACCTGCCAGCCTCCTCTGCTGCTCCCAACATCCCATCCTCTGTTAGTTCAATTTTAATAAGCAACAAAAAGCAAAACCCCACAGCCAGGGCAGAAGAAGGGTGTGCCACATCTCAGCACGACATCTGGACGGTAACTGAGGAAGTGTTTGAGTGTTTGTAGGTGAAAGCGTATGGCTGCTTCTCTCATGTGTTGATGTGAGTAGGAGGGGGCTCTCTCTGAGTTATCTGTCATGTGAGCTGTGTTTACGCTGGTTTTCCTTGTGCCCTGTTTTAGTCATTGTAAATGTATGGCATTTTGTTAATGCAAGGAACAGTCCTTAAAGAGGCAAAATAACTCCTGTTACAGCGACTCCAACTTTATTGAAGCAGATTCATTAAGCAAAGATGCAGAGTCTGTCCAGCCCTGTGGTTTGTTTGGGGTTTTTTTATTATTTTGCCACCAAAGAATGTAAAAATGTATGTGTACCTTTGTATATGTACAGAATGAATGTGTGGACATGTGTGCATGTATCTATACACAGACAGTCATGGTGTGAAATCATGTTCCTGAAAAACTAGCTGGACCATGATTTTCACTCTAGGGCCTTACTGTTCCACCTGGACAGGGGCAGAGAATGTCTTTTTGTAGGAACTCACTGTTTTTTAATGGGATTCACCCTATGGGGCAGGAGATGGCCTGCAATACAAGTGGAAAGTTTAGGATCCTCAGTTTATGTGTATTAATACATGCTCATACTGTACATAGCAGCATGCACATAGAGGAGAGGACAAAGAATCCCTCCCTCTTATTGAGCTGTGGCTGTACTCTGCATTTGTACAGTTTCAGAGATCTATGCCAACAATTTTGCATACTCGATAAATGCATTCAGATGCTCAGATCAAGAAGTTTTGTTCACTTGCCTGTGCCCTTCATGCTGCTTTTCTCTGCTGCAAGATAATGTGGTGGTGATTTTATTTCAAATTAATGGATCCGAATATGAAATGGCCCTGCTAAAAGCCTGCTGTGTTTTTGCTGTTCCTTACTCTTATTTTGTGATTATCCTTGGTGCCAGTGGAGAGGGTACCACAGTGAACACTCCAATATGTTTGCCCTTATCTTGCTGTTTTATAACTGACTTTTATAACTGCCCTCAGCATGTGTGTTTGAAGAACCTTTAGTCAACTCATCTGCCTTTAAATGGAGGACATACACAGCAGTAAAGATTAATTGAACACAGCCACCTTAACCAGTGCTGAAGCCTTTTGAGGAGAACTGCAAATAACAATAACATAAAAGGGAACTTTTTAAGCCAAAGTCTGTGTATGACCAATTGATCCTCAAGGATGCACAAGATGATCTCTTTCCATTGCCTTATCCTCTAAGATTAAGGATGTGTCTGCACACCAGTAACAGCTGAGGCTTCCTTCAAGCTAGGTAGTTAGGGAACTAGTTAAGTAGGGTGACTAGTTAACTGGGTTTGATTTTGGTTGCAAAACACACTTGAAAAGTAGGATTCATTAATAGTCTATGCTGGGCTCCTAATGCCATAGCTATGTTGCTTCTGGTACCCAGGCTGGGTCAGGTACATCAACAATTTTTTCTACTCTACTCTCATTAAGGACAGGATAATTGCTGAAGATTGTTCATGATAGTTGAACCAAACACAATAAACTTTTGAAACCTCAGTCATCTATCACATCGCACTGAGCACAGCATCCAAGTGGTGAGAGAACCAGATAGCTGACCGTGACAACACTGCGATGAGATTTGTGGTGGAACATCCTATCTGTTCTGTGCCTCTCTTGATCTTAACATTTCATTCTTTATTTGCTGTTGCCTTGGATCTTCATGTGTCAAAGTCTGTGGATAAAAAGTCACTAATGAGCAGAAGTTCTTGAGAATAGCATTGAGTTTGATCTGGTTTTCCCCTCAGCTTGTTAAAAAGTCAGTTGTACAAGTAGGCAGAAGGCAGTAGTTGTGTAATTAATAAAAATGTGTTGTGTATTTGAAAGCTATGAAAAGGAGGAAGCTGGTTAGGAAACAGAAAGGAGTGGCATATAATTAATCTCACTGTAAAATAAGCAAGACCTATGAGCATCTGGACTTGAAAGTGGATGTTTATGTGCTGCTCACCAATATGGACTTTTGAAATCTCACTTAAGGATGCTTAGAACAAAGAGATGAAGGTAAATAGAGGTTTGTGGAGGTCTTGGGGGTCCGAAACAAGAGGAAGACACCCTGAATGTAGCCGTTATGTTGAACTGTTATACTTGTTAAGTGATAAAAGAAGCCAAAATGTAACAAAATGCATTTACATTGGCCAAGGTTGTGTATTTGGTCAGAGGGAGAAAATCAAACAAGTTTTTAAAACTGAATATTTTCATTAAAATATGCTGAATGTGCAAAGTAGATGGCTGTTGGTGACCACTTGCTAACAGGAAACACATTTGTGCTTCATTTAGATTTAGTACAGCATCTGTGTCTGAAACATAACATAGCTGATGAATTAGTAATAGTTGGGCATATATATTTCCCAAGAATAGTGCAAAAATTGTGCAAAACTTCACATAATCCTTACCAAGAAGAAAATTAAACATGGAGAGTGGTGTTAGAATAAATTCAGGAAAAAAAGACAGTTTCTTTCAGATTGTCTGGATGCAAGTCTCTTACATGTGAAGCATATTCTTTCTTGTACATTTTTGCATTTTGTTTGTTTTTCTATATTTTTCCCTAAGTTCCTACTCTTTATCTGTAAAACCAATACTAATTTTTCTGAAGGATAACTTGGTCTTTTTATGCAGTAGTATACAGTAAGATTAATTCCACTGTCCTCATTGTTAATTGCAATAAGATCATCAAACGCAGAAACAAAGCAGTAACTACAGAAAAGAATTCCATTTTGGTTCACAATGAAAATGGCCAGTGGCCCAATGTGCTAATCTGGAAGGTGGTAGTATTTCCTCCAGAGTCAGCTGGCAGGTCCTGACTGTGGGAATAACATTTGTTCCCCTTCATCTAACTAGTGGATTCCAGATGAAATGGAGGAATTGGTTATATTTGCATGCCTGTGTCTGTCTGTCTAATCAGATTGTAACCTTCGGGATTTGAGTTGCTGCCTGCCCCTCCATCATCAAAAGAGCCCACCATAAGGATGTAACAGTTGCTTTAAAATGCTTTTGAGATATGGATTAGTTTTGTGACAAATATAAAGGTCTTGGAAACAGGATGTAGTAACACGTGTTCCCATTTCTCACTTACAGATCCATGAAGGCTGTTTTTAAACACTTGCAGCCATAATAACTACCTCTCTTCTCTTTGTCATAGTACCAGTCAGCTGCAAGTGTAGTGCCCAGAGTTTTGTATCTCCACTAAGCTCTCAGAGTTGCTGCTGGTGTTCATTTCAGCACCCATCTGCTGCCAATAACTTGTCTGTCCACCACCGTAATGCCTTCCTGATACGGGTGCTGAGGTAAACTTTAGCATATGAAATGGCCGCCAAAGGGAAGCTATCCTAATTTCCTTTCATCTCCCTTGGTGTTTAAAAGCAGACTGCATACAGATACTTTGTATTCCCTTGCTCCCAACTGAGGGATAACTTTCAGTAGCAGTTATATGACTGTGGTGAAGAAACACCCCCAGGGAATGCTCTGTGCCACAATTGAGAGCAAAAGATCCCTCACAAAAATTAAATTCATCACTCTTCACCTTTCAGTAAGGCCAGGCACCAGGCTCATGGATTCCAGATGTTTTATAGCCCCTTGGCTGCTATGTGCGACCCTTCTGTTTGATGGATCCCTGTCCATAATCCAAAATAAACAAAAAAATGGTGTTTTAATGAGCGTCATTCTTGCTTTGATAAATAATGGAAACAGTTTTCAAAATACATTAATTTTTTCTCTTTTGACCCTCTTTTTTTGTAAATCTCTGTAGTGAGTAACTCTGTCAGCAAAATAAGGCATCAGATTTGTAGATAGGCAGGGGTTTGGCTTTAGTTTAATAGAAAGTCACATGTGAATATCTAGATAAGAGTTCATGCCCCAATTTAATTTGGAGTCAGCATCTTGATGTGACTGAACAGCAAGGGCCTCCTGCAAGGTGCTCCATTCCCCCTCAAGGTACTAGATAACATGACAGGACAGCACCTTAAATCCTGGGTGTGCTATGCTCTAAACGTACCCTGGCGACTGCTAAAAGCCATTGAAAAGTCACAAGCGAAGACTGCAACATCTACTGGAAACCTAAGGGACATGATGCTGCTGTAGGTGCAGTAAGTCGTTCCTTTTGCCAGGCATGTGCTCTACACCAGAGGCCCTGGTAGCGTAAGAACAGCAAGAGTCTATCCAAAGTGCTTTAGAAACTGCTTGGCCAATGGTAGTAGTCTGGATTCAGGTGTGTGTACACTGTGTGGTGGTTGTTCTTACAACATTTTGACTTCACTGAGATGAAATGGGGGCAAGGTGGCAGCCTACCACTTTCACATCCTTTGTCCTCCCGCTACAACTCGTAGGCAGGGATACACGCTGCCTGCTTTTATCTGAAAGGTGTGCAGGGACCTAGTGTCAGAAAGGAGCACGAGCACATTCCTCTCTCTTTTTCACTCCTGCACATTTACAACATGTGTACCACTCCTCGTGTTGTCTTCGAGGCAGGTCGTGCCTGCATAGGCAGCGAGCCTGACCCTGTGCCGTGTTCAGGGGATGGCTCTGCCTTTCCCATTGGGGTGCAAGAAACATTTGCCTAAGCTGTAAGGATTGCGACTGTTGGTGTTTCTCCACAGGGAAAACTTCCAGGTACTTAAAGGCTCTGAAAAAAAATTAACTGAAGCGTTTTTGAGAGAGAGAATGTTTGGTTATAGGCAACTGTTGAAAATTATTTGCAAACACTTGAACACTTCTTTTTGACTGGGGCAGCAACTGGCTCAATTGGTATTTCAGATGTGATCCCAAGAGGTTTTTGGCAAGCGGTTTAATAGTTACACAGAAAGTAATGCAAGGAGTTTCAGAGATGTTGTATAGTTTTATGTTTACGTGAAAAAAAATTAAAATTATTTCTAATTAGTCCATTTCACATCGAGTGGCAGATAGAGATATATTTTGTTTAATCACTATCTAATACAGAGGCTTCTGTGAAAGAAAAGGTTTATTTGTAGCATTGGGTGCATTTCTCCTTTTTAAAGACTGTCTTTGCGCGTATAGTGTCCTTTTTTTGTGAGCTGGGAATTGTAAAAAAATGTAAAGTAGAAAAGGACGTGTTTCTTAGACAAAGGAGAAATACTGTAAAATTGTGTAAATGTCACTACTCATGTTTTTTCGTGTTCTGTGTAGCATAGTGTAAAATAGGCTTTCCAGCAGTGTTATTCTGTGAATTGTAATTTAAAAAACAAGCCATGCATGGTCAGAGATATTATCTACAGGTCCTTTTGGTTGAGTTCTTGGTTTTGTTTGTTGTTTTCTCATTTTAGGTGAATTTGTTTTATGTTAAATCTAATTGTCCATGAAACTGCATTTTTGTTTCTCAGTTTTATTTCATAAAGAACTTGAATTACTCTTTAAGATTTTATTACACATGAAGCTCACCTACCGTTTGTACTGATCCTTCAGAAGATCCTTTGTCACATCTAGTGTAAGCCAGGGGAATTTTGTT